TTCAGTGTGATGTTTTTTCCTGAGTTTTGTTAATCAATGTTATAAGACCTCATTACTTTCTTAAAATCATTGCTTATGATCACTTATCGAATCTGCTCTCTCTCAGTTTGCCAAGCATTTTTTCTTAGTTTTGAGTGCATTTCAGTTTGGCAGCCTTGGTATAAAGAACTTCAGTGTATAAAGAAGCTTATTGTCTCTGTTGGCAAATGTTTGGCTGTAGGATCAGTTTGTCACTGGAGCTGTGGGAATAGCTGCTCAAGTAGTGCTTCTGTTGAGCTAGCAGAGAAACACAAAGATATTTGTTACTCCTGCTAACCCAGGCTCCTTCCTCGCTGCTTTTTACAGTGAGCCTGTGGGGCTTGGCACAGGACGACCCTTCTGACACAGAGTTTTAGGACATTTTGCAAAACTCTCAGAAATAATGACCATAAACTCCATGTTTGTATCTGCTGCCAGTGTGAAGAGGCTTCTCCTGAAGGACAACTCCCTGTCGGATGCCGGCCTGCGCAGGATGACGGCGCCCGTCCGCGTGCTGAAAAAGGGGCTTGACAATCTGCTGGTGCTGGACTTGTCCTGTAAGTGCTCCATGGTCTCATGACAGAAAGAACCTGTGTCCCTCCCGATAAAGAATTTATCCTCCTTAGCACTGAAGGAGTACAACTAATTTGTTGATTCCCATGAGCAAAGTGCTCAACCCCAGATTTGACCAGCAGCATCCCAGAAGGCACAGGGCAGACCTGAGGTCTCAGGCATTTGCTACTTACATAAGTATTTTTATTAGTTTGAGAATTGGTATTGTAAATATTTGTATTTTGATAATTAGAGGGCGAAAGTCAGTCTTGTTCCAGTATTAGCTTTTAGAACAAATACTTCCTTGGTATTTTGATAATCTTTTTCGACATCATGCAACTTAATTAACTTTACTTGGCCTTACAGGTAACCCTAAAATCACAGATGTGGGAATTGGATACCTTCTTTCTTTCAAGAAATTGAATTGTTTGGACATTTCTGGGACAGGTCTCAAGGTAAAAATCATCAGGAAAAGTTTACTGGCCAAGTGTAACAAAATTCTTGCCCTCTGACTGCTTTATGTCCCTTTTTCCCAGGATGTTGATGCTGTCATAAAGCGACTTCAAGTGCAGATAGGCCTGGTTCACTCAAAAGTGCCTCTGAAAGAATTTGATCACAGTAACTGCAAAACAGAGGGATGGGCAGAGCAGGTAAGGGGGGGGTTAAACCTGTTTTACTCTCTAAAAATTTGCCTTACAGAATACAAAATCGTTGAATAGGAAAGAACAAGGGATGGAGTTGTTTCCAATGGTATTTTACAAGACACATTTTGACTGCTTCATTTGTTCTTTCAGACAGTTCTGCAGTGGGAGCAGGCAGTTATGGAGGCCATGAAGCCCCAGGACAACCTGAGATCCAGAGTGGCAGCTCTTCGCTTCTGTACGTAACTGCACAGACACCACAGAGTTGATTTATTTTCTTTTCTACAGGGACTATTCTCATACTTTTTGGGGTTATAGTACAAATAGCATCTCAGATGTGCAATTTCAGCCCTTTGTGTAACTGCACTACAATGTACTTGAGTTTTTTAATTTGTTAACTCCTGGATAATTCAAGTACAGCACATGTAAGAACTGAGTTTTTTCCTTAATATTCTGAATCCAAAATATAAATGGTATTTTTTTCCTGTGCACATTTCCAAGTTGGCTTGGCCATAACAGTTTGTACCACAAAGTTATGCATTTTACAGCATAATTCTGCTTTTCCCAAAATCAATTTAAACTTGATATTTTTGCTTGAGTTGGCTTGGCCATAACAGTTTGTACCACAAAGTTATGCATTTTAAGCATAATTCTGTTTTTCCCTAAATCAATCTAAACTTGATATTTTTGCTTCTAGATGGCAAGACACACAGAATAGAGGAAGTAGTCAAATGCACACTGGTGGAGCCAGAAACTAAAGCATCTGGAAACTTGCAGTTTTATAAGGAAAACGTTGAAAATTGCCATTTACCTTTGAAAAAGGAGGTTGCAGGCAGCCATGAATTAAAGAATAATAAAAAAAGAGCTTTGGCTGAACAGGAGAGGGAAAGGACTTCCAAACAGAAGCATCTGTGCCTCACTGTGGAGGACTGGGATTTGTTAAATACCTACTGAGTCAGAAAGAAGTGGGTCTTTTGTTTGTTGTTCTCTTGCTGATGACAGGATTTGGACATACTGAGAGGGAGTGACAAAGTACTGTTAAATCTGGTTGCTGTGACATGCCTGTGGGGTAACCTGTGCTGGGGGAGGGATAGACACAAGGAGGTTGGTAATGCTACTGTATATTTTCAATACATAATAATTTTTTCAAATAAAGTTTTTGTTGTCATCCTTAATTAACTCTTGTGCTGAAGGTGTTTTTCACCAAAACAGCTGCTCCTATCCCTGCTGCTCTCCTGCCTCTCCAGGGGCAGGACACAAATCACTGCAGCTCATCTGAAATGAAGCTGCACTGGGCTTGTCAGTGCCATGGGATGTTTACAGTGCTGCTAGAACAGAAACCTCAGCCTGAAAGCACCAGGCTGTGCTGATGGGGCTGTGCAGAGGGAGGGAGCACAAAGGATAAGCACAGACCTCTGGGAAGGGAGGCAGAGGCAGTAACACCTCGCCAACAGCCACTGCAGAAGCCCAAAGTGGAACACAAATCCCCTTTCTTTCTCATTTTAGCCCAGGAAATGAGAGCTGGAATGAGGTTACTGTAGAGATTATGCTCTGCAGTTGTAATATATTCTCCCTTAAAAGCAAATTCACTGCATTTGAGATAATTCTGTGCTTTAAAACCCATTTTCAGTGTGCCTGCAATACACTAACTGTGTTTCTCCATCTGAAAACACTGAGAGGCATTTATAATTCAAATATTAATTATGCAGATCAGCTGTAAATCACCCTGACACTCAGACCTGTTCTGTGTTGGTGTGTGCAGCTGAAATGCTGCAGGTAACTGTTAAACACTGAATTCCTGCCCTGTTTCCATCACAACTGGCTGAGGTGCACAGTGCTCATCACTGGCCTCTGAGGCCAAAGATTTTCTCCAGGTTTCCCCTGCTAGTGCTTTTCAGAGGGTATCTTCCTTTTACACTGTTGTTTACCATAATTCATCACCAAGAAAAGCAGCACATCCTTGGAAACCACAAAGAGGCCAAGAAAATGAACTTCAGCTCAGAAATGCCTAAAGAATAAAACCCCTTTGTCTTTTCCTTACTGCTGAATTTTCCTCAGAAAAGGACTGCACACAAACAAAACAGGGACACTTGACTGAAATCCTACTTTCTTTTCCCAGAAACTCAAGGCTATTAATACTTTCCCCTGACAACTACATCAGCTCTCTGCTGAGACAAATAATGGCACAAATTGTGACTCAAAACAGTGGCTCAGTGGGGAGGAAGATGTGCAATCTTCCCCCTCAAGCTGCTTCTGGTGCAATTGCCACTATGGAATTTTTGGCCACCCCTTCCACCATTGGAGATATGGTGATCTGCATGGAGAGATGCAGATTTTTTTACCAATCCTAATTTAATCAAACCCATTACCTGGGCCCTGTGCTGAGCATGAGGGTTCCTCTATATTTTTTTTAACAGCTGATTAGTTCAATCCTTACTTCACTGGGATGACATTTTACAGAGACAGAGAAAACAAGCTGTGCACCCTGGCCAGGCCTGGAGAGAGACAGGTGAGTAAAAGCAGCTTTAACATTCCCCCATGCAGAGTTTTGCCTTCTCATTCCAGGCAGAGTGTGAGTCACAATACTGTAAAGCTATTTATAAAAAGATCTCTCAGATTTCCAGCTGTATCCCAGTGACAAATTAGAAGCAACATTCACCATTGATCTGAGTTACAGTGACAGGCAGAGCTGCAGATCACAGGACTGAGAAGAAATGAGTGAACAGGGGTTTATTTTTAAATATCTATGACGTGAGGTGGCAATGGGAAGAAAATCACCTCGTGTTTTTTTTGGGGCCTAGAAAAATAAGAGTACTCACTGTAAATGTGGGGTTTTCCTCAATGTTTTAGACACAGATGATATTTTCAAAGGAGCAGAGAGAACCTCATCTTTCTTAAATTTCACTGTCATGTCCACACCTATATCCTGAGGACTGCTTTGAAGGCTTGGCTGCCTGCTTGTGCCCTGCTGGCAGAGGAACAAAACAAGCAGCAAACAGATCCAGTGTCATCCCACACCACCCTGGGAGCAGCACTTGATTTTCTGCTGCTCTCTGCCCCAAGGCTGAGGCTTCCTTTTCCTCCTTTCTTTGCCAACTTCAGTGAGGCCCATCCCAGCTCCATGGCTGTTCTCAGCCTGCTGCTGCAAAACTGCACAGCCCTGGGTGAAGAGCACATTATTTAGTTATGCTGGTTCTCTGCCCTGGCTCTCAGGACAGCTACTCTGTCACAGAGACATGATTTATCCCCCCAAACCCTGAAACTTCTCCAGTTTTCCGTGCCATTACACTCTCTGTGTTGGCCTTTGTGGTTTGAGAAGGGAGCAGGAGGTGACCTGAGCAGCATCTCCCCACAGTGTCACTCCCAGCACAGCCATCCCAAGGAAGTGTCCCAGGAGCATCAGCACAGAGCCCTCAAAGTCACTGCTGAAACCATCTGCAGATGTGTTCTGAACACAAACAGAAGCTGCCAGAGAAGATCAGGACTCTGGAGATGCGTTCACCTCACCCCACTCAGCTCCTGCTCCTCGGGGCAGCTCTCGGCATGGCTGCCTGCAGAGGCCCCAGCATGTCCACAGAGGAGGAGCCCCTGGCCCAGAGCAGTGCCAGCTGTGCCAGCTGTGGCTGGTGAAGCCTGTCCAGCCCAGCATCGAGTCAGTGCTGCCCATGAAGGAAGTGTCACCTTCACATGGCACAGGCTCCTGGCAGCTGTCCCACAGCCAGCGTCCAGCCGAGGCCTGCCACGGGTCCCTGGTCCCTGCTCCGTGTCACTGCGCTGCTGGGGAGGATTTGCTCGGGCTGGAGCTTCCCAAGGGCTGGCAGGACAGGACCCCAAGGCTCCAGGGTGACGAGTGGGAAGCACTCTGCTGTCCCCAGCAGGGACAGGTGCCAGGATTCAGGCTGTGCAGAGGAACTCGTCGGACCAGCCCAGGCAGTGCTGGATTCCGTCCCGGCACAGCCTCCTGGGGATGCAGGAGCAGAACTCGAAGTGCACAGGGCTGCAGCTCCACCACTCCTGCCCGCACGGGGGGCAGGCAGCCACTGGGAAGGACACAAAACAGGGAACTGAATTGCTTCTGCCACACTGACCCTCTCCCTCCTCCCTTCCGTGGTAAAATCCTTTCGTGCCCCCAGCAGAAAAGCTGCTGGTGACAACCCTGTGACTGTGAGCCAGTGAGACACTGGCTTGGTGCTGCTTGTCACAACCAGAGTGTGACATTGCAATGACCTTCACGGCAGAGAGGCCATCCTGGGGGAACAACTAACTGTAATTTCCACCCCCCTCCCCCCTTTTTTTTCACCCCCAAAACCATGGAAGTGTCTTAGGAACAAATCTGCTGCTCATTTTAGCAAGACTCAGCTCCTGCACAGCTTGGAGATCCACCCATCTGCTGACCAGCTACCAAAAACCAGTTTGAATGGTTACTGCTAACAGCCACACATCCTGATGAACCTGCTCCACATCAGCAAGCCACGGAGGAAGAGCAATTTTTGGGACTGGGAGCAAAGCACGGAGCCTTTCCTCCCTCAGGTGCCACCAGGCTTTGACACAGAAGCCTCGGCAGGCAGGGAGCCTGCAGTGCTCACACCCACACCCACCCAGCCGTTTTGTGTTTCAGTGGTGGGTGCCTCCCTCCAGGCATTTCCAGCAGCCTCCATGAGCACCACACCTGTGGAAGCTGCTGCAATCCATCAGCAGCAAGACAGGAGCCAGCAGACAGACTTACAGCTCCACGTCTCGTCCGAGCAGTCCCCGCAGTCGTTCATCCCGTTACACCTCTGGTCAGCATAAACCCAGGACCTGGGGTTGCTGCAGTAGAAAACCAGGTATCCTGGCAGGCTGTGGGGCAAGTCACCTGCAAGGGCACACACACAGAGGACATGCTAAACTCCTCCAGGCACAGACACACCGGATAAAACGGGGATGGCATGCACCAAAATCTGCTGCCAGGATGCTTCCCCTGCAGTATCAAAGGAACATGAACAAATGGGGAAGCTCTGTCGTGGGACACAGGAAGAATGCCCCAGGTTTCTGCTTTATTTATTTTTTTCTCCAGGGTGACTGAACAATAAATTATCCATGTAGGCATACAGCTTCACTGATGGAGGAAAACTACATAATGGTTTAAAAAAAAAAAAAAACCCTAGGAAGATCAGATGAGCTTGGAGTCTTTAATTCCTGGCATTCCTGCCAGGTTTTGGGCAGTGCCATCTCTCAGCATCTGGCCCACAAAGGCTCTACCAGGCCTGTCTGCTCGTGTAGGCAGCCAGGAGCACAGAGCAGGGTCAGAGGAACCCTGGCTGCTGTCTCACAACTGGGAGACCAGTGCAGGGGAGATGCTCACAACAAAACCACTCACCACAGAGCTGCTCCTGCTCATCCTCTCCATTCCTGCAGTTGCTGACCCTGTCACAGACCCAGCTGGCAGGGACACAAGTCACTCTGTCATCACACAAGAAGCCTGTCCTGTTATTAGGGGCTGTGCAGAGGCGGTTCACTGAGGGGAAAGCAAGAAAACCTTTATTTTCCAGCATTTTTGGGATACAAGGAATGGATCAAGGGGAGTAAGGGGGGGGGGGAGTGGTTCTGAAATTAATTTTTTGTTCTGGAAATAACCAGGGGCCAGGATTAATTTCTGCTAGGTTCATGGCAGAATCTGAAAACTACACCAGTAGTTTTAAGTATGACAGCGCTACCCAGAGTTATCCCAGCCCTGTGGAGCCAGACAGAGCCAGGGAATGGCTGGTGGCCATTTGGGCTGAGCAAAGCTGGTACAGCTGTGCTCATACAGCACCATTTCTGCCTCCCTTACAAAAAAAACAACCACTCTTGGGATACAACCTGGTGCCCGTGGCAGGAGTGCCAGGGCTGCCACCGCCGAGGCCGCGGCGGCGGCAAGGACGAGCAGTGCCAGGGCAGAGATGCAGAGGTGTCTCTGTGTGCAGCCAGCACGGGCACCACATGGATGGCAGCAGCCTGGGGAGACAACAGAGAGACAGAGGGACTGAGGAAAGGTCTGGGGTGTTTCAGAGGGGAGCAGTGCAGGGACACGAGGATGATGTTTTGGGGTCTCTGCATGGGGGCTGCTGGGGGTTAGGGGTTGATAGTTGAGTTTGAAAAGCCAAACTCCACCATTAAACACCTCCTCGTGGGGAATTTTGCTGCTTGCAGTGTGAAACTGCTGCTACAGAGCACCGAGGTTGAATGGCACAAGCCCCACACCTCCATGGAGCTCATCCTGTGGCTCGGATGCAGGGGGATGAACCCCAAACCCCTGCCCAGCCCCTGCCCAGTGGGACAGCAGTGACACTGAAACACAGGGCAGGCTGGTGTGAGGCTGGGCAAGGTGCCCTCCCAGAGCCCATAACAAAACTCCCCACGAGGTAAGATTTCATTTTACAGGACGTCAGGCTTTTTGCCCCAGCCAGGACTCACACTCCCATGGAATGAGGCTGGACTGTCAGCCCAGAATGGTGAGAAGGAACGAAGAGCTGCCCTTTCCCTCCCTAACAACATCTCCAGGGCACAGCAACCTTCCAGGGACTCCAGCTGTCAGAAAGCCAGGGACATAAATCAAACCAACTGCATGAGCTAAAGGCCAAACCCACAATCACTGCAACACAATGGTGGCACAGGCAGGAGCCAGGCCAGGCACCCACCCTCACCTCAGCAACCTGCCCCTGCAGCTCTGCCTCTAAACCAACAGGGTATTTCCCTCCATTCCTTCATTTTCCCAGACCAACAGCAAAAAATATCAGTGTGGTCATCTCAGAAACATGAAACCAGTCACTTAAGGCAATCCTGCCTGTATTGTTGATTTTGGTATATTATGAACTTAAAAATCTTTAATTAGAATTTTAAAAAGCTTTCAAGAACTGAAAGAACTTTAAAGTCAGAATTTGTCTTAGCTGTGCTTTGTGTTTACTTAGTTGTTCAAACTCAAGGGAAGGGACAGCAAAAGGATCCTGATTCCAGCAACCTCTCCCTCTGCCATGCTCAAGCAGGAGCCAAACTCAGAAGATTTCAGCTCAGAAGAGAAATGGTGAATTACAGCATGTCTGTGCCTACAAAACATCTCTGACTACAAAGCACAGCAATTACAAACAGACTTGAATATAAAATAAGGGTGGTGATGAAATGTTTCAAGCTGAACTACAGGCTTGCTATTTGGTTCTCTTTGACCCCACCTCATCCTTCAGAGCATGGGCAAAATTTGCTGAAGTTTGGCTATTAACACACAGGGAAAGGCCACAGCAAACTCATTATGAGCCCTTCTGTGACTGACAAGGATCACCTATCATACCACTGTACATATGACTGCCAGCTCCAGGCCAACACAGAACAGCTGAAGTTTATTAATTTTATAGTCTAGACATTTCACTACACAGAAAAAAGGGAAAATCAGTCCAAACAGACCATAAATAGTGGTTGTATTTTATATTACATTGATAGTTTCTATTGATTTATACTTTAATAATAGAACTCTGCATTTTATTCATTACCTCTTTCTCCAGAGGAGGACTCTGTTGAACCAAAAGTAGCTACATCACCGTTTCTCTAGAAGGAAAGGGATAAAAGGGATTTACAGAATCTCACAGCCACACAAACTTCACCTTTCTAGTTCTCACATCTTACCCAGGAATACCTCATCTACTCCATTAGTGTTACATACAAGCAAAAATTGCCTCAGTGAAAACATCTCACCTTCAATTCCCAAGACAATCAAACCATCGTATCCCTTTTTAAACCTTAATTACCCATTTGTAAAACAAACACCAACCAAATCCAGCACTTTATATCAACTCTTTTGTACCAAGGTAAGTAGAAACAGCTCAAAATCTCAGAGAAAGCAGTGACAAAGAGGTCAGGCAAAGAGCACAGGCAAGAACACGCGTACTTCAGGGAACAGCTGTGTGTAGGATTTCTCTGAAGAACTGTACCTGGGGATGAGTTTTGTTCATGCTTCCCAGAGCTCCAGGGACCGCAGGGAGTTCTGTGCACCTGAGCACAAGCGAAGTTACCGGGATACAAACCCAACAGAGGCAGGAGAGCGAGGAGAGCACCTCACCGGCAGGAGGGGACTGGCAGGGCAGTGCTGAGCCTCTGCTCCAGCCCCCAGGGAAAGCCAACAACAAACTCTCTCATTCTTCTTGCCTCGAACGTGGTTTCGCAACAGGGCATGAGACAATGCAGAGCAAACAGGGATTTAGGGAGCTGAAGCCCTGCTGCCAGGTTGGAAGACAAGCACTCACCTCTAGCTCATGCTGACTGCATTCATCCCTGTGCTGGTCATGGAAAACCCCTGCACAGTGAGAGCTTGAGGGAAATGAAAGTCTTCCTTTCTCCACACCTCCTTCCCAAGGCAGAGCTGTCACACTGCCCTTGTGGCAGCACCAGCCCAGGCTCCTGCCAGAGGATGAGATCTCAGGAGAGCTGTGCAGGATACAACCATCAGAAACAGCTTCCTTGCTTGGCAAATGAGCACAGGCACAGGAAATCCTCCAGGGTCCTTTTTACTTGAGTGCTTGAATTTCCAGGCCTGCAGGAAGGCTTAGCAGCTCAGCCTGCAGCAAGCATGAACTTACAAATACATTGGAGCCTTCTAAACTGGCTGCAGGTCTCAGCACAGCTCCCACAGAGAGCTGTTTTACAGCTTCAAGGATGAAATTTCATGAGCAGGCAGCATTTCCATGGGGGTAGTGGGGAGAAAAGGCAGAAAGTTTTTGAGGAGCCTGGGTTGTTCTTGCAAGAGGGTCCAGAGGACTCAAGTGCTTCCAAATTGTTGCCACCCCACAGGCCATGACTCCTCTCCAAGGAAGACAGTCCCAGCAGGGCTGTGGAAGAGAGGCTGGCAGCCAGATTGTCTCTGAGCTGGCATTGCCTTGAATTGATTCCACGCAGTGCCTGACATGGAGGAACAGCTACAGCTCCAACTTCTCTCTTCATCTCCACACATAACCCATTCCCAATTATACTGAGTTAATACACTCTTCATGGCCAGGCCATCTCCAGCCCTGTCCTCACACACCAGCCAGAATTAAACACTCTCTTGTAGGAGCTCCTCCTTAACTACAACAGCATCAATTAGTCCAAAACAGAAGCTCCTCACTGGAATACATCACCATTAAAGGTGGTGGTAGAAAATTCTCCTGTTTCAAGAAGGATCTTGGGTGAAAACATCCAATGCCAAGCAGCAAACAGTCTGCAAGTCTGGGCAGCTGCTTCAATGTCGAAAAATGTCAGACTAAGCAGGTCTTAAATTCTGGATCTCTTGCTCTTTAAAGAGGAAGTCCCAGTTTCTAATCAGACTTGATACATGACTATTTTGAGCCTTCACAAAGCTTATTAGGTGGTTGGGAGTTTGCTAAGAGCCCTGTGTAAGAGCCAGGTAAAGCAGGCCTGCTGTGCATACCCTGCAAAACAATCTACAGTGAAGATTTTAAAATGTGGAGTCAACCCACCCTTGGGGACAAATGTCTGTAAGAGATGTCCAGAGAAGGACAACAGAGCTGGGGAAGGCTCTGGAGCACAAGTGTGATGAGAAACAGCTGAGGGAGCTGGGGGAGCTCAGCCTGGAGAAAAGGAGGCTCAGGAGAGACCTCACTCCCTGTAACTCCCTGAAAAGAGGCTGGAGCCAGGTGGGGGTCAGGCAACAGGACAAGAGAAAACAGCCTCAAATTGCACCAGAGGAGGTTTAGATTGGATAGCAGAAAAAAAAAATCATTCACTGGAAGAGTTGTCAGGCATTGGATCAGGCTGCCCAGGGCAATGGTGGAGTAACTACCCCTAAAGCCGTGTGGATGTGGCACTTGGGGACATGGGTTACTGGTGGCAATGGCAGTACTGGGGAAATGGTTGGACTCATTCCTGGAGGTCTTTTCCAGGCTAAAAAAATTCAGTGATTCTACAACCTGCCATCTAGCACCATCTGTTTCCTGCTCCAGGACTATCAAGCTCAGCTGTAGCCAAGCAGGCAGTTGGATTTCAGAGCAGTTACCCCACATCAAAACTACTCAGAGTTCAGAAAAATGAGTTCATGACAGCGATGTAAGAAAGATAAGGACGCTCTTCTGCAGTATAAAAAAATAATAAAACCCAAAAATTTCAAAGATCAGAAAAGCTGAAGAGGCAACAAATATCAGCGTATTCAGTATGATAGAAGGCTGCTGTTAATTCTAGCACCTAAAAAGCCCCCAATTTCCCCCAAATGTACCTGGGTTATTTCTGCCAGCAGTGAATTGCACACACTTTAGAGGGTCACCTCATTTGTATCCAGATGATTCCATTTTAAAGCCAAGACAGGGTCAGTTGAACATGTGCCTAAAGAGAATATAAAATGCTTTCCTCATACAATTTCAATAATTTAAGGCCCTTCATTTAAACAGTGGTTTTGAGCAGAGATCAAACCCGAATTGCAGCCTCTGAAAATGGATATGTCAGTAAGTCAAACATTTAACAAAAAATGAATAGGAAATGACATTTTGCAAAACCAAATGCCAAGACAGCTTAAAGAGTCCATTTAGATTAGACATCTTGAGAAACAGTTCAATTACTCGCTATTATCTGATTTTACTGAGGGAAGATCTTTTGACAAGTTTACAAGTACAACATTCACCAAATTCCTCAGGCTCTGGCTCGCTCTGGATACAGCGGTGCCAAGTGCCAGAGTGCCACAGGCACAGAGCTCTCTGTGACCCCAGAGCACACTGCTGCACAGATCACTCAGCTGAAATGCCATTAAACAGCAAACAAAAGACAAAACGCCCAAAGAAAGCACAAGCTGTTTGCCTAACTCGAGCCCAGGGCTGTAAGCAATGGAGTTTTGAAGAGAAAGTTTTGTGAAATCAAGTCATCAGCCTAACAGAGGTTGCACTGTCCACGCTGGAACAGGCCAAGAGCCACGTGTGCACAGAGCTGCTCCCTCTGCAACCACGTGTAACGGTAAAGGAAAACATTTAAACAGACTTGCAAACATTTCCGTAAGCTATTCAGTTAGAAAAACAGGGATTGCTGCAGTCTCTTCTGGAAATCCCAACCACCACAGTGCTAAGATGTCACTAATCCCTAAGTAAAGCCAGCAGCGGCAGTGATTGCTGAACAGGGTTGCACAGATCACAGCACAGCTCTGGCATCCCCGGCAGAGCGTGCTGGGCTTTGTCTGTGCCAGCAGAAACGCAGCATCACTGACAGAGCAGCTCCTGTCCCTGCCCATGTCCCCAAACGGCACCCTGTCCCTCCCCACAGCAAGGCCTCTGCAATGGCACCTACACGGAGGACAAGGCTGCTGGCACCCAAGCTCTGGGCTGTCCCACTCAAGAGTTCAGCATCAAGGGGTACCTAAAACTTAAGACCTGAGATTGCATTTCCTGCAGGCTGATAGAAACCTGCTCCAAACAAACATCCCCAACGACCTGGAAGCTCCTGCCAGCCACACTGCTGGGCTGGGTCTGCACACTCCTGCCTGATGGCCCCAGAAAGGCTCCATCAGCTGCACTCACACAACCACCTGCCCACAGACAGGTTGGCAACAGCCCTGAGCCAGAATCTGTACCACCCAGAATCCCCACAGTTCTTCATTACATTTTTTAAACCTTTGAGGGAATTCTGTCTAATCAACAAAAAAATGACAGCGAATTGAAGACTGCATTCTAGCCAGCATTGAGTTAGACACCCTAAAATAAATCACCAACACCCCCAACTTGCCAGCACTGTGGGAACCAGCATATAATAAGATCCACAAAAAATAGGTTAGACATGAAGGACATTGTTCATTGTTGCTGTGTTAGTGAATCACAGCAAAATCAGGTCACGCCGCCCATGAGAGGAAGGCTACAGACAGGCTTTCACACTGAGCCTGCTGTGGTCAATAATTAACCATAGCAAAAAGCTATATAGTCAACATTTTCTATACAGTCAATTTTATTTGTCTGCTCTCATTTCTCAGGAATCAACTTGTTTCTGTAAATGAAGTTACAAGACCAGAATAGTTAATTAAGAACAGAAAGCAGAAGTTTTCAGAAAACACAGGTGCTAACTTTACAAGCAATTTAAGACTTAAAGGCTAAAGTTTGACAAAATAACTGACCATGTAATGTTCTGCATGTGAAGGGATATGTCTGTAAATTTTAACACATTTCCATCTTTCACAAGCTGAATTCTAGCTTACAGTACCTCACAAATGCTTTCCACCTCCAATATTGCCACTCTGTAGAAAAAATATATTTCTATTTTTGAAGACAGGGTTGTTTGTGCATGGACATTAACAAGTACAAAAAAATTCAGCAGATAATTTTATAATATTTTCTCTTAACTACAACAGAAAGTGCAACACTAGAAAGGCATGTCCTGCCTACTTAAAATGTCTTATACCTTTACAAAGCTAACTCTGACTGTACACATTACATCCTAGAACACACAAGTAAGTTTGAAAGTGTCCTGGCAGAAGTATGGAAAGCACGCTTACAATTTTTGTAAGCAAAAAGACACAATAGCAAACACCAGTGAAAAGTGATTAAACCTGGAAACAAACAAATTCACGTCTGAATGTCTGAATCTTCTCTACTAGCTGAAAACAAAATCCCATGACATTTGTTGATTTTGCAACTTTATTTGCATTTAAAGACTGGCTGCTAAGTTTCTCATCTGAAGAACCACCACAATCAATCAGGAGTTTCTAGCTCTGTTAGAATTAGTCTATGGGATCCAACGGGTTTAAATTGCAGATTGATCCAGATTGACTTTTGTAGGAAGAGGTCCTGCTTCTTCATGTTCCTCAGTCTTGCATCTAACCACAACAAGTGCAGAGGGTGGGTATCTGTTGAGTTTTTGCTCATTCATGTATTCCAAATCTCCATAGATGCTCAGCTTCTGAAACATTTAAACAAGGTACTTTAAGACAAAGACTCTCCATATTGTGAATAACATGAATTTCATTATGCAGCTGCATTACAGGTTCTGTGCTGCAGCCCTGCAACACAAGGCCTTCTGTAACATCTGAAATTCAGGGCTGGAACTAGACTTGCATGCAGAAGAAATGTATGAAATCTGCCAGAACAAGGGTGGGTACAGCATTTGTGTAACAGCTCCTTTGGTGTGCAATCACTGAGTCAGGACTCTCTGGGCACTGGGGGAGTGCCTGTTCCCCTCCATGAGACTCTGCACTCACACATATCACCAGTAACTGTGCTGTCACTCTGTTCTCACTACTGAGCCTCCTGCATTAAACCTAAACTGGGTCCTCCCTATACCCCCCTTGGAACAGCTTCACTCCCAGAGAAAAGAGAATCAGCCTCCACTTGTTCAGAGCACCCTGAAGGTTGCTGAGAGTACAGCACTAC